CCATAACAGTCACATTTGGGATGAAGAAAACCCTCATGCCATAGCCATCCATAGAGACCAACATCAGTTTTCAATTAACATCTGGTGTGGCATTGTGGACGAGCATATCATCGGGCCATATCTGCTTCCACCACGTTTGGATGGGCATGCTTATGGTCGATCCTTACAGCATGTGCTACCGGAACTATTACAAAATGTGCCACTGAATATAAGAGCCAACATGTGGTTTCAACACCATGGCGGTCCAGCCCACTTTTCTTTACAAGTGCGGCAGTATTTGGACGACAAATTTCCAAATAGGTGGATAGGCCGAGGTGGCCCTGAGCCTTGGCCTGCGCGGTCACTTGACCTGACCCCACTGGATTATTTTATCTGGAGCTATCTGAAAGCTTTAGTGTACGAAACTCCTGTTCCCAACCAACAAGAGCTACTGGGAAGAGTGATGGCCGCGTCCGCACATGTTCAGGACATACCGGGGGTATGCCACAGAGTTCGCCGATCATTGAACAATCGTGCACAGCTGTGTATTGAGCAAGGTGGAGGACACTTTGTGCAATTACTGTAGGTAAGCTGTTTCAAGAAACTGATCTTTTTTTTTTGCTGCAGCCCAAACGGCATATTTCCGAACAGGGGTTTATAAGGAAAAATTGTTCATTTTGATGCCCTCTACAACCCCTATCATTTTGTCGCAATAATTATGGAACACCCTGTATATATAATAATATATTTATAATAATATATATATATAATATATTTTTTATATATTATATAAATATATATATTATAATATATATATAATATATTTTTTCAAAACAAAAAAAAAAATGTATTGGTATGATTTTCTTTATGAAAAAGTAGCTAAATGATGTCTAAACAATCTCGCGGGAACTGCATCGCGATATCTTGTTCCTAACCTAAAATTTTGGTCAAAGAAAACTTTACACGGAACATTTTTCTGAAATTCGTTTTTATTTATCAGAATAAAACCACACTTTTTGAGCATATTACAAAATATCTATTGTCAACCACTGACAATTTGAGGATTATTTATGTTTTGATTAGGTATTTGTTCTGCTGTATCCCATGGCCTGCTTGAATTAATTGTCTTTTTCGAATATTATACCCAGTTAATATGCATTTAAAAAAACATGGCTTTTGTTATTAGCATTACTTACTTACTTTTTAGCGATATTTTGTAATATTTTCATTCTAATGAATCAAAAAGAATTCCAGAAAAATTATTTTGAAAAAATAAAATTTAAGGGATTTCCGTATAAAATCTTCTTTGTCCTAAATTTTAAGTTAGGAACAAGATATCGAGATGCGGTTTTCGCGAGATCGTTTAGACATCATTTAGCTACTTTTGGCAAAATCAGCACAGCCAATTCGAAGATACATGGTGTTTTTTACGGAAACCACTGAATACCCCCACCGCTTTACTTTTAGAGATACATCAAAAATTGTCAAACAAAAAAGTTCACATTATACATTATCAGGTATTTTTTTGTTAGGTTAATCTCTTGGCAGCTTTAGCAAGAACTTTTTTTTCAGCCTCTACGATGGATAGGTTCCCAGATACAGTACCTCGCATTCTTAGTTGGCCACCCTGTACATCACGAAAAACCATGTCACTCATTTACTTCTGTCTGTCTGTATGTCCGCTAATCATACAACCGCCTATAACTTGAGAAGTACTGCTCTGATTTCGAAGAAATTTGTACACAATGTTGCTAAGTAGTAGTTCTTGAACATCGGTCAAGTGGTGGCAGACAAGTCTACCAAAAACGAAAAAATAAAATAAGAATCGTTCAAAATTTGTTTTTTAACGCTGCAGAGGATCCACATCATTTTTGAAAAAGAGCCCTTATTTTAGAAAGGAGAACGAACTTTATCTTTCCTCAAATTTCCCGGTCCAAATCACCAAATTCAAGTTATTTATTATTCTTCTAGACATGTATAGTATTCGTCAACTTAGATTACTAAAAATAAATAAAAAAATGAAAAAGAAAAGGACAAACAACAGAACAATCATAAACAAACAAATTCTTTAATATTAGTTAGTGACGCTTGTTAAATATTTTAGCTTACAGTATGTCAGCGATTTTATGCATATGTCATAACATTTGGAAAAATCTACATTCAAATCGATAACCTGCCTGGTAACATAACAAGCATTAATTAAAAACTTACCTTTATTACTAAAAACATAAACAGGTAGTTCATATAAAAACATGAGGGTATAGTTGAAATTTAATAAAAATGTATTTATGTTAGTTGCTCTTTGCTCAAAAATGCTTGCTTTGCGCTAGTTGTTAAACCCCAGAAACACAAACCATACCTTAATCATGATTCAATTTCAGCATAATTAGTTCTTAGATTTCTGATGGCACAAGTTTCTAAGATTATTTTTGAGACTACATACAATGCTTTTTAAAATTGTAGCTTGGATCAAGGTACAACTTGTTTTTAGGTAGTATTTATATTGATTTTAAATTTTTTCGTTTTTTTTTCGGAATGTTATGAAATCTCAGAAGCGATGTTTTTTCTACATTCAAATACAGAGCCACATTGGAATAACTTCAAATAACGCTCCATATTTCCTTGTTAATTCAGTATCTCACTGCTCGATTTGAGAACAGAACCATCATTTACATAGAGAGTGAATTAAACTGCAGGAGAACACTGTCCTAAATCATTGTTATACAAGGAGAATAAATAGCACTCGACGACTCGACCCAAGATTGATTCTTGAGGTACGCCTGTGGTGATATCAATGCTTTGAGATTTGATGGGCGCCTCAAGATATTGTTAAGATATATACACATTGAGACCTGTTTTGCAAAAACGAATTTTGGACCAATACGATGCACCGTTTATGCCATTGTCATAGTTTGGTTGACTACACTTCACGACTTGTTCTGAGAATCCGGCTTTAAGCGACGTCTGTGTTTTGATGAGAATAACACATCGTGTTTACGAAACAGTCATCTGTTTCGATACGCATAAGCGGTTCATTTGTATTGCGCTAGATGGCCTCAGGCGTATCTGATTTGCGCATAACCGCCTCCGGCGTCGATGATGCGCATCCACGTGCGTCTTGCGCGGCAGCACGACGTTGCCACCTTTACGAATAAGTCTCCGAAATTCACAAAATTACAATTTATTGCAGTAAAATATTACTATTTGATGTTTCATAACTGATGAACCTATATGCTCCATTACAGCATATTCCAAAAATTGTCGTAAGAACTGTGAAACTGGAAAAACCATGAAACATTGATATTTTTGGCAGAATTTGCAAAAGCTTCCCTCACCGGCCGTTTATTATAGCAAGTAGTTGTAACGTTTTGTTGATAAGCTACACCACATTTCTAAAATTATCTGCACTTTATCTAAAATATATAAGTTGAATTTAATTTTATACTCCTGGTTTGATGATACTTTTATATCCGCACACCTTGACGCATGAACTGTGACGTAATGCAAACCGATCTTTAGAGTGCAATGCCGTAAGCCAATAAGATTTGCAACACAATTATGGACAGTGTTACGCACTTAACCCGATGATTAATATTTGCCAGGGTCACACAGACAGACGCAGACGGTGGAAATATTGCAGATAGTTGGCTGTGACATCTCATTTAACTGGACCAAGAGGCATATGACCGCAGCGCAATAATAGTAAGGAATGATCGAATGATTTACAAGCTTGGAACTAGGAATGTTTATCGCATCGTTATGTGATAAAAAATTCGCCGTGGCGCCATTCGGATAATGCAAATTGCTTACATTCCTAGGAAAGTATGTCTTTTCAGTGAATAGGAAAATATGCTGTGTGTGTTTTTTTTTTTTTTGGGTAGGACAGAGATTTTATTCCAAAGTTTAGGGCAAAATTTTGCGAAAACTGGGATACGCGTATTCACTAGTTCTCCTAGTAAATCGGTGTTTGTCGCGCTTTCTCAAGCCGAAAAGCGTTTTGCTAAACAATTGTCCATGGTATTTGTTTCTTCTCAATCTTCGCAGCTTGTACATGCTTTTTCCTACCTGCATCAGATAGCCGCCTATTTTATAACATTTAGAATCGAACCATTTAACAAGAACCTGTGTTGATCTTTGTCACCAAGGTTATAATGTTAATATACTCTGAAAACCAAATACCAGTGACGTCGTAATGTGTACGAGAGAGAGAAGCGCGTGTTAGAAAGAGACAGTAGCATCCCGTTGCCTAGCAACCCCTAAAGACGAGGACACGCAATCGGCCAACATACATATTGGACGCTTCTCTCTCGCACACATTACGACGTCAGCCAAATTTGAACCTCACCGTATATCTAGTAGAATTTCCCTGGCCTGTAGCTTATGAGAGCTTCTAATTGTTTGAAAATAATCTTTGAACACATGTCAAATCTCCATGAAGGGTCCCTATCTCCATAGTGTACTACAATGATATTGTTGTATCCGCCATGTTGCAATCGTGGTACTTCCTTAAATACATTGTTTTATTTTAACGACAGATGTAGCTAGATACTTGACTTAAGATGACAAATTATCTCAATTTCCGGAATATTCTAACACCATTCCAGCGCATCTTTCCAATATCACAATACACTATTGTTGAATATGCACTTTTCAGTCTGGCCGCACGTCCGGATGACTCAATGACATGTTTACAATTACGAAAGTTTACAAATGTACTCGGGCGACGCCTGACGAAGTCGTGATGTTTCAATGTCATGCAACAACAGTCAGTTATCGGTCTCTTAACCCTTATCGATTCGCATGTAAACATAAGTTGCTGGGCTCACTTCAAAGTTCAAAAAAACATCTGACCTTACCTTCATCAGCATATAACCTAAAAGAACGGCATTTTAAAAAAAAATTCATAGAGTTACACCCATTTTTTACAGTTTGCTGACATAGATCACCGCAAGAATGGAATTTTGACCAAAGTTGAAAATCTCACAATTAGAATTTTGCATGTATCAAACTAAAAGCTGGGAGCCTCGGTAGCTCGGTGGTTAGCTCGTCGACCTAGAAACCCGGGGCTCGCGGGTTCGAACCTCCGCCTCGGATGTTTCATTCCGAGCCATTAATGTCGTTTTCTGGTGTTGTCTGTATCACGCAAGTGGGTGCAATATTAACGATAAGTACATATCACTGTGGCTGAGTAAATGGCTGGCGGAGTAGGACGGTGTTGTTGATACGGCGGTCGGCAAAAAGGGTTAAATGTGGCCTAGTTATCAGATTTCGCCCCTCTAAAGGGTGGATACTAATTGTATGAATGTGCCAATGAATTCCTGTGTTATTTTCGCAGTTAACTTATTTCTAAGAGTAACTGACACCGAAATAATCTTTTATGAACTGATGACAGTGATGCGTGTTTAGAGTCTACATGATGCTATTCTTTGGGATACTAACAAGGAACTTGGAATAACGACAGAGAATCGCTTGGTGCAGAGATCTATTTTCACTTTTACTTCCTACACCACTGGGCGAGGAAGTATTGCTATCGCGAGAAACTTCGACAAAGACAGACAGACAGTGTTTTTTGGACGTTAAATGACATGCACATTACGAAAAAATATGTCACTCATTTCCGTAGGTATGTCTCTGTCCGCTAATCCTTGGCCCGTCTATAACTTGAGAAGTACGGGATTACGTATCTTGAAAAGTGACATTTCGTCGGTTTTTTTACTTTTATTAGTTTTCTTGTGACATAACGCAGGTTTTTCTACAAGACTTTAACTTAGCACAAGCTGGTCTACTGGGTGGCCAACTAAGAATGCGAGGTATTGTATCTAGGAGCCTATCCATCTTGGAGGCTTGCCGCAAGAACAGTTATTACTTAAACGGCCAAGAGAACAAAACTGGAAGATATTTTCAAAAAGTGATGTTTCTGGGAATTGCGCCACCAAACCAACAAAAAAAGAATACCTGATTATTGCTGTATCTCTAAAAATAAAGTGATGTGGGGTATTCGAAGGTTTCCGTAAAAATCACCTTGTTTCTTCGAAAAGGCTGAGCTGATTTTAACAAAATTTGGCTAGTTGAAAATACCTATTCTGCAAATGGTATAATATTTTTAGCCCAAACTTAGCTCTTTTGAACTAGCTCAAGTTTGTTAAAGTCGGCTCAGCCGTTTCGAAGATACGGAAACCTTTGAATACCCTGTCACTTTATTTTTAGAGATTGCCAAACAAAAAAAGTTTACTTTATCCTCGACTTCAAAAATCGGGTATTTTTTGTTAGGTTAATACAGCGGACTTTATAGAAAAATCACTTTTTTGGCTTCAAGATTTCAGTTACGGCCCCCAAGCCGCCATTTCGTAAACTTTTTTTGTAGGTGTTAGAAATTAGTTGTTGGGGGTTGCAGGGGGTGGGGGAGTGTATATTATATTTGAATTTTTCAAAAACATTATATTTATATGCTTTCAACCCTGGTAATTCTACGCACATATTAGGTATATTTCACAGACCATTTCCCCGTACGTATTTGCCCTCAAAATATATACAGACACCTGGGTTGGTCGCGGTCTACGACTGACTGTATCGGATGCGCTCTCGATCTCGAGTTATGATATCACAGCTGGTGCTTATGACATGGTAAAACATTTCTAGTGTTATTAAATGCTTGGGAACTATGGACTAATTGTATAGCGGAGTTGATGCATTCAATGTTTTTGTTCTACATGTTTGTAGGGACTAACTTGTGTCGATCATAATCCTTTACGAACTGATGACAGCGTTGAGAGGCAGAAGCAGAGTGAACCTACTGGGCGCAATTTTGTATTGTATTTCATTTCCCGGCAAGCATTAGTAGATGGTCAAAACAACGTATATATACATTACTTTTCTAATCAACTGCACATTCGAATGACTCAATGGCGTGTTTACAAATCCACCCGACTCGAATAGCAAGCAATCGTGATTTTTCAATGTCACGCAACAGCAGCTATCGGCCTGTAAATATTTTTTTTGCCACCGAAATGGCCTGGCCTGGCCGTTTATCATTGTTGCGTGCTCTCATTGTTTGGGTGCTAACTGTACATTGACACACTTTGCAAGCGCATCTTCGATTCGACTGCTCCGCTGCTGTTCTTCGGAACTGTACCGTGCGGGACGGTGCTTTTTTTGTTTTGCAGAACGAAAAGATTCATGAATATTTCATCGACATGATTCGAAACAAATCCAGGCCTTGTACTGTGTGGATGAGAGTAGCAGTGAGCCGTAAAGACCGATTTCTTAAAATCAAAATCAATATGTACCAAGCAGACTTGGGTCGTTTACTTTAACCCAGGATTAGAATACGAATCCTGAATAGTGCCTTTTAAATTGTATTTGAATACCAAAGATTCGAATGCAAAGGAAAACGTATTCAGATACCGCTGTTTTGAATACCTAGATTCATATAAAAATGAATATTTACAAACAAAACAAAAACATGCGCATTTATCTTGATTTTTATTTATGTAATTTAGTCATAAAAATATTAAAAAATAAAAATACATTACTATATTAAAACTTGTATAATAAAGAACATTATTTGATTTTTATAGAAAATTGATAGAATAAATCTTGAAAAAAAAATATATGAATATTGGACAATGTACCTAGATAATATAACAATAATAAAAATTAACTCACCTTTTTATATATCAACTTTATCTGGTATCACACAAAGATTATAACAGGTATTAAAATTTATTATAAAATAAAATGGCAATACTGCACAAGCACAAGTGACATTAATCTCATTCCTTAAGCGACCAGTCGACATGGCGCATTCAGAGGCACCACTGTACATACAAACAAAACATTGCTTAACTATATCTTATTTGTGCCAAGCACAACCACCGCAAACGTGTTTAAGCACGTTTAAGTTGCGTAAAGCCTAACCCAATATAGTCAAAGGGTTTTCGAAAACAGGATCTCAAACAGAATTCGAATACCGGGATTTGAATACAAAATGAAAAAAAAACAGACAAGAACAAAATCAGAACATGCGTAAATCAAGAATTGCATACAATATATATAGAAATGATAAAATTAAGTGGATAGTGAATATATGAAGTCAAATTTTCTTGCGAAATGTAGACAAAGGATACGAGTATGTGTTATACACTTAGGTATTGAATTATATCTAGTAGCTAAATTATACGAAAAACTTCGTTTAAATAATGTTGTTTTATGCGGTGAAGCTCTAATAATTTTGTCTTAACGGTATAGTGTGCACATCCTTACTAAAAACAATTTTTTCTCTGAGGTTAAGGGCGTAGACGTATACAACAATTTATGTATGAAAATGAAATAGTGGTAGTTTACTAAATTCTCAAATTTCATCCACAATATTTGGTAATTGGCTGAAGCATGGTCAAAATTTCGTAATCCAAAAATGAACCGTACAAAATTATTTTGAATGATTTGGATAATGTTTTTTTGTAAAGCAATCTAATGAGGGAAAATAGACATTATCGCTGTGATTTCGGACAAATAAAAAAAAACCTGCGCGATATCCAAAATCGATACACCTTGAGGACAAAGAAGCGGTCGTACCGGTCAGTTCGACATGTACGAATTTCGACATTGTAAGGATGGGAGGCCGAAGTCAGGCGGGTCTGCCTGACAGGCTCATCATGCAGCGGCTTCTGAGTAGCAAAGCCTGTTGACGTAACGTTAGAAGAGAGCCAGATAGCAAACCGCCTGTCGCGTCGACGCGAAAGGGCCTCGAGACTGTCCATTAGAAAAGAGTCATCGATCTGTCGGACATCCGTCCTCTGATCCGCATCGAGCATGATTAATGTTGTCGGGGCGGCAGCACCCAAAACATGTGAGCAGTACCCAAGAATGTCTGGGCCTTGTACAGAGTAAGGAGGTTATGTGGAGAAAGGTAGATATTAACCTTAAACAAATGACAGCCTTGACTTAGCGATTCAAGAGGCATGAGCCTGACCTATCCATGCGACCTTGATGGTGCATGGTTCTAGCACATAATTCGACGAAATATGACATTTAGGCCTAATCCATAAATCATCCTGTATAGTCAGACATAGAAAGGTAAACAGGCAAACATGTTTAGGATCTTCAAAAATATATATCTTTATAAGATAATCATCTTGGGTATGAAAAATTAAAGCCATCAGTAAAGCTCACAACAACATCAGATACAGAGTATTTAAATTGATGCAAACGTAAAAGGACTGTAATCGAGATATTAATTTTGAGGTGACAGTGATTGATTTATTTCAGTGGCATATTTTCGCATCTGATAACCGACTTGTAATACGTACATAAACTAACTGTATGTACGTTTGTATAACTCGATCTTCATGTTGATAATATCGATATTATTCGACTTTTTTTTCTCTATCTATCTAACAGTTTTGTATGCCTCGTTTATTTACATATACATCTTTGGATGTGCTGAAATATTCTATAGCCTGTTCAGTTATTAACTTCTGAAATTTATCTCATATTTGTATCTATGACTCATCCAGGTTTAACTTACCAATTTCAATCAAATCACAGCCATTCTTTTTTTTATATCGAAGTAGCCGCGCAGGCAGAAGCCTAAATGTCGGAACACCGCGGCTGCTATGATGATCCCAAAGAAATTTGGTTAATACGATTTTTAAACTGCCTAAGGTTAGTAGAACTGTAGAAAAAGTTAAGTTTTTAGTATTCCTGTTTTGCGAGACAGTTCTCCATTTATCGGAATAAGAAAGCGTTAGATATGTGGAATAGTGGAGGGCTTATTTCCTAAGATTATATTTTCCTTATTCACCGCGATTGTCGGAATTTGTAAAGCTGGACAAGCTTAATTAAAATAATTTCAAGTTATGGGTAAGATATAATATAAATATGAGTACGAGTATAAGATCACAGATAAAAATAAATGCAAGAAACAGGCAGTGCTAAATAAATTGCTGTGATTTTTGTTATATGTATGTACAGGGTGCGGCAGAGAGGATGGACGGTTTTAAAAAAATCATAAAATAGTTAATTTTTACTCGAAAACAAATTTATTGATGGAATCATGTTCACAAGGAAATAGCATTTGAGACAGTCAAGTGTGGA